TTGTGTGTGTGTGTGTGTGTGTGTGTGTGTGTGTGTGTGTGTGTGTATTTGGAAGCTGATGGTAAACTATCTTTCGTGGTTGACTCTGCAGCTTGTATAATTGTAGTGTAGGTTTATTTTTCAAATCCTCAGGCTATTTAGATAAGTGCCTAGGTCATTTTTTGCCATTTTGAGAAAATAAGAAAAAAAAAGTACCAAACGTTTCTTTCTTTCGAGCAATTGACTCTGTGAAACGCTTGTATTTTGATACTCTTAAACTCTCAATTGATTTTATTTGGATTATACACAAAATTCTTTAGTCCAGGTGAACTATATGTGGCGTCGGTGGCCTCGTGGTTAGGCTCTCGGACTCGCAACCGTAAGGTCGTGGGTTCGAATCCCGTCAGGGGCCCGACGTTGTGTCCTTCGGAAAGGCACTTTGCACAAATTTTCCTCACTTCACCCAGATGGAAATGGGTACCCGGCTATAGACAGTGAACGATCTTGTCAGTTTGATAGTGTTTGAGCGCGTGAAATCCGCAGCTTGCACTGTATGTTTCCGCGGAAGCCGAGAATGTCTCTGAGTGTTTTCAGAGGGTCTGCTGGGGTAATAATAGTTGTAAAGCGCATAGAGCATGCTCTTGAGCATGGATATGCGCTATATAAATGCAATTATTAATTATAATTAATTATTATTATATTACCAAGCTGGCTCTGCTCTTCATTTCAGAACCAAAAACACCAAACCGCCCACAAATGACTTAGGTAATAATTTCATGAGTGCGGCGAAATGATACACATAAAAATCAGATTTGTAATAATTATGCTATTATACTAGTTCAGAAATATTGCCCAACCCAAGGCAGAGAGACCCAAAACTCTACTGGAGCTTACACAGCGCAGCCTTCGCGCTAGAAAATAGGGTGACCATTTTTAAAGACGAACGAGAGGGAGAATATTGTAATTTATGTTCATTCCATTTTTTCTAACAAAAAAAAGAAAGAAAAGAAGCAGACAGCTGTTGGTCAAAATGACCCAGTCGTGTCTGCCACATCTCTGCATTCTTTGTCACATCCTGTGTAGGCTATTACACCTGCTATTCCCATGATATAGAGTAGTGTTTGTTTGTTTGTTTTGTTTTGTTTCGTTTTCAAAAAAAGTATAAATGGGTTATTTCTCTCTGTCTTTGTCTGTCAGTCTGTCTGTGTTTGTGTGTGCGTGCACGTGCGTGCACATGCGCGCGCATGTGTGTGTGCGTGTCTCGCACACGTGTACGCGTGCACACACACACACACA